ACTGCGCGCCAGAGCCAGCCACAGGCCCAGGGCCAGGCCGAGCGCCATCCAGGGCAGCATCGCGCGGCGAGACTGGGCGCTTGGCTGAAGCTCGTCGCCTGCTAGCTCTAGGCGGCTGGCTGGATCTGGATCTGGTCCCGCCCGGCAGGCCACGCCCACTTGAACGCCACGCCCACCCGGACGCGCGCAAACACATGCCTGCAAGCAAAGACGTCCACCTGCGTGGACTCAGCAGAGGCACACCTAGTTACGGGCCTTAATGGTATCCACGTGCTGCGCCCAGGTCTTTCTCCTTGCCAGTGAGACCGTGGGGACCCCCTCGTCACCCCTCTCCTAACCCCAGACCCTCCCTGAAGCCAGGCCTGAGAGCCAGAAGGTGGAGTGGCGGTGATGCCCTGGGAACAACGCCCCAACAAAGCCTGAGCCCCTGGCACACGGTGGCCACAGGGCCACAGCAGGGTCAGATTGTCTCCAAGGCCTGAGCAGAAGGGGATGGGAAAGGCCTTGGGGTGGAGCTTAGGACAAAGAATCCCTGAAGGGGACAGGGACCTGAAGGGAAGCTTCTTAGAAGACTAGAAAGTCAGCGCCCCATCTAGGGCTCCTGGGACAAAACCCTCAGAGCAGGAGGGGTGGTTCCAGCCCTGTTCTCTTACCCTGATGGGCCAGCCTCTTGCTGGCCTCCTACACCATCCAGTAAGGGACCCAAGGCCCCGGCCCATCAGACCCCAGAGGATCTCAGAGGCTACTGATGGGTCCTGTGACCTTGGTTAGGTCCAGACAGGAGGGGCTGGCTGAAAGCCCACTGCTGCCCTGCTAGAGCCCTTCCTGTGGGGTTACATGGAGCTGGGGGCTGGGGCTGTGCCTGCAGGATGTCCCCTCCCTTCCCACCCTGCAGGAGGATGCTCGGTGGGGAGGACGGATGGGACTCAATGGTTTTCCTTCCTCCCTTTCTGGCAGGTGAGACACCCTGGGGCCTTGAGGACTGCTGGATTCAGCTTTGCCTAAAAAGGGAAGCAGCACAGCTAAGCCTGAGAAGCTGGCGGCAGGAACAAGCAAGAACTGTGTCCCTTGCTGGGAATCTTGGCATTGGGTGCTGGCTGGACTCCACAGACCTCAGGCCTCAGCAGGAGCAGAAGTTGCTTAGGGCTTCCGCCTAGGATCTGTCTGGAAGCCATGGGCATGGCCCCCAGAGTGAGCCATCAGGGACCCACCTGGCCCCCAGCACGGACTGCCACCAGGAGAGGCACTGGGCATCAAGTCCCTGGACAGGATGGCAGCTCTGAGTCTTCAGAGGCACGCCCAGGCAGACATTTCCAGGTCCCTGGTTCAAGAGCTTGGCCATGCTGGACCCACCCAGGAGAGGCTGCGCTCACAGCCCTCCGGCTCACAGTCACACCTCAGCAGGCCCTGCTGTACCACCGGGAAGTTTCTGTCCCCTCTGGAAAAAGTGAGCAGGTCTTCCTGGCCCTGACTCAGGCCCTCGAGGAAGCAGCCGCCCTCCTTCCTCCAGCCTTAACAACAGAGGGAGAGGACACAGGAGCCCAGCCTCCACCAAGCCTGGCTGAGAGAGAGACTGTCCTGCTGCTCAACTTTGCTCAGCCACCAGGGAGGTTTTACTCCTGCATCCCTCACTGCCCGCCTCCATGCTGTCCCCAGCCATGGAGGAGACTCCTGTGCAACCGAGAGGCTCAGCAGTGTCTCTGCCAGGCCCAGGGCTGGGCTTGAGACATACACAGGGGAGACACAGATAGGGCTGTTGAAACCCCTTCTTCTGAAGGAAGATGTGGGCAGGAGCAGGGATAGGCCAGGCCAGACTCAGCAGGCCTGGCTCTCAGCCCTCAGCCTCCCCCAGGCGCAGCCCTGGCCTGGTCCTAGCGCCCATTAGACCGAAGATGGAAGATGCAGCCTGGGAGGTTGCAGCCACCCTGCCCGGCCTTGGCCCAGATCCCAGGAATCTCTGTGCCTTCCTCTAGTGCTGGCTGTCAGCAGGCAGGTAGAGAGATTTCCTGCAGTTAGGGACACCGGCTCCGGCAAGCAAGTGCCACCCCGCTCCCACTGAGTCCTTGGGAATGCTCCCTCCCCCACACAACCCAGGCTTCCAGAGAAGAAGGGCCTTTTGTCCCCAGCTCACTGTGGTCATGTTCAACCCCATGGAAAAGGCCAGCTCCTGGGCCCTCTGACCCCAGCGGCAGGCAGAACAGCATGGGCCCCGACTCCCAGCCTTTGAGCTCTTGTTTGTCATGTTGTTTGTGTCCCACACGCCAACCCACGCACAAGCCCACACATGGAAACAGGAAGTGGCAGGAGCTGTGGGGCAAAGGTGACTTGGGCAGGGGAGTGGGGTGAGCCTGGGCCTTGAGACCTTACCCCAGTATGTTAGACGGGGACAAGGGGATGGGGAGGAGACAGCCAAGAGAAATGGACCCCCCCACCTTCCTCTAGACTCTACTCCCCACTGGGGTCAAGGCCATGCCAAGAAGGACCCCAAGGACTGTCCTAAGGAACCCTCTGCCTGGCGTCCTGTCTTACCTCCAGGAGCCTGGGGTGACTCTTGCCAGTTCCTCTGCAGCTACAGTGGCAGGATGAACAGCCCGTATATGGCCACTGCAGCCATCTGTCACTCTGGACTCTGCATTGGGAACTCAAGGCACAGGCAGAGCCAAGTGCAGCTCTGCAGAGACAAACATCTGCTTTCCCTGTGCAGGTGGGGCCCTGTGAGGCAGGGCATAACAGTGACTTCGGGGCAGGAGCTACAGGGAGGAGCCTCACAGGCAGGGGGAGGCCTGGGCTGGGAGCAGAAAGGGCAGGACTGGCTATAGGGCCTTTAAGCCACAAGGTGGTAGATAGGTTTCTGAGGAGGAGACAGGGCAGAGGTATATGGCTTTAGGGAGCCAGACCCAGTCTTTGAGGGAGATACCTGGGTAAATAGCCACAAAACCAGACATGGTGCTATATGCCTGAAATCCCAGCAGTCTAGGAGGCTGAGGCAGGAGGATCCCAAGTTTGAACATAGCTTGGGCAACTTGGGAATTTAGTGAGACCTTGTCTCAAAATTAAAAAAAAAAAAAAAATACAAAAAGGGATGGGGATGTAGCTCCGCAGGAAGGCTCTGGGTTCAATCCCCAGTACTGAGGGAAAAAAGAAGGATAGGACAAGGAGAAGACGGGCCACCATTGACTGGGAGTCTGAGAGACAAGACACAATGTGCCACCAGCCTAGCAACAGTGCCCCTTCCCAAGGAGCCCGGCCTGTCTCCAGGAAGGGTCCAGGCAGGCTGAGGCAGCAGCCCTGGGCAGGCACTAACACCCAGGGGCTTGATGGGCAGGTGGCAGTGGAAAAGACAACCCTGTGTCAACAACAGGAGGAGGAGACAGGGGCCCTGGCTGTCGGGACCAGCCTACATATCCTCTGGCTCAGTCCCTGCTCAAACCCTCCCAGCCCTAGGGTCTGGCTGGGGCAGGGTCTGGTGAGGACTTACACTGGGGCTGCAGGGTCAGAGCGTGGAAAAAGCAGGCCCCTCTCCTCTGGCTGTTGGTTGTTCAGGGTGAACCTGCACCAGCTCTGTTAAAAACACACAGCCTTGCTGGGTGTGGTGGCGCACGCCTGTAATCCCAGCCCTCAGGAGGCTGAGGCAGGAGGATCACTGTGAGTTCCAGACCAGCCTGGGCTACACAGTGAGTTCCAGGTCAGTCTCAACTACATAGTGAGACCCTGTCTCAAACAAAACAAAACACAACACAACAGCACACAGCCTTGGGCAAGGTGGGGACCTCACTACTATCCTTCTCTTTACCTGTGTGGGACAACAACCCTGCCCAAGGCATGAGGGGAAGCAGCCTGGACCGCTACATGCCAGGCTCCTTCTCACCAGGCCTCAGTCACTGAGGAAGAACCTGTGCCCCTCAGAGTGTGTTCTCAGCCCCCTCGGTGTGGCCTCTAAGCCCTGAAGAGCTGGCCCTGGGACAGGGCAGGTGGCAGAAGCACCCCTGGAGGACTGAGGCCACTCTAGACCTCTAGGATGGGAAGGGGTCCTGGGAGGGTGCAGGTGGCCATTAGGCTAGAGAACAGGGTCAGAGTTCAAGTGGGGTACAAGTTGGGGAATGAGACTTGTGGGGCCCAGGTGGGGTCCTGTCCGGGTAGGGGAAGGAGCGTACGCAAAAGCCAGAAAATACCTCAAGTCTAGGGGAGTCCTGTTGCTGGAAGGCTAGATACCCATCCTCCTTTCCCAGCTGCCCAGGTGACCCCCCAAAGGCCCCTGGAGAGGCCACTGCTGGGAAGAGCCTGTGTCCCTTCATAGCCCAGGGCCTGTGTTTGGCTTCTGGTAAGCCAGCTGCAGCCCCCAGCACACAGCTGGCCCAGCTTTGCTCTCCAGGACAAAACCCAGACATCAGGCCCCCAAAACTCCCTACAGTGTTTTTTGTTTTGTTTTGTTTTTGGGGTCTACTTCTGTTTGAACCCAGGGCCTTCGCTTCAGTGTGCTCTGCCACTGAGTTACAGCTTCAGTCCCACAGTGGTCCTTTGGCTTTCTTAATGTTTGCAACAGGCTCTCACTATGTAGTATAGGTCAGGCTTGAACTCGCTACCTGGCCAGGTGGCTTTAAACTCTCCACCCTCCTGCCTCAGCCGGTGAAGTATGGTTAGGGCTACAGGCTTGTGCCACCACGCAGGACTCCCCTAATGTTCTGCTCAGAGCAGGTCTGCATGCTGGGGCTGAGGCAGGTCACCTGGCTACCCTCCCTTGGAGGTCACCAGGGCCAGGTGGAGGCTCTCTGGGCCATGAGCAGACCTGGGAAGCTGGAAAACACCTTTCCCTCACAGGCCGCATGAGGCAGCTGTGAGGGCGGAGCTCCCTGCAGCCCCACTCATCCCCCCACCCCCACCCAGCCCAGCTGTTGTTTTGACGACTGTGGGGCCAGGCAGATTCTCAGCCAAAGGCTTCCCAGGGGAGTCTTCTCCTGAACCTCAACTGGGAGCCAGAGCCTGGCCAGCCTGGGGCAGGAGCGGAAGGAAGGCAGCCTCTGCCCAAGGGAAGCCCTCCTAGGTGGCCTGGCGACTGGCCAGCTCTGTCTGCTCAGGAAAAGCATCAAAGCTGGACACAGATGAAGGATGGAAAACCCCAAGTCACCCGCTGGACCTCACCCAGCTACACAATGGTCGCTGCTTGAGGCCACAGAAGGAGCATGACCATGGTCACAGGCGGAGCCCTCTTGGCAATATGCTGTGTGGGGTCATTTAAAAGGCTTTTACCCACAGCTAGTTTCTTCTGGGTGAATTACAGTGATCACACTGCTAGGCTTCCATGAAAGTAAATATCTCAAAGCCCTTCCATTACATTATTTTTTAATTTAATTTTTATTTTTATTTATTTTTTTGGTACTGGGGATTGAACTCAGGACCTCACGCTTGGGAGACAGGCATGTCGCCACTAAGCTAAATCCCTGGCCACTCTATTTTGTTGTTTGGCTTTTTTTTTTTTTTTTTTTTTTTTTTGTTTTTTTTTTTTTTTTTTTTTTTTTGGTATCGAGGGTTGAATTCAGGACCTGGTGCTTGCAAGGCAGGTGTGGTGCCACTGAGATAAATTCCCAGTGCTTTTTTTGGTATTTTTGAGACAGGGTCTCATTATGTACTCTAGGATGGCCTTGAACTTGTGATGATCCTCCTGCCTCAGCTTCCCACCCGGCCCGTTATATTCAACATTATAAGAAATAAACTCCAGATATGGTGGTGCATGCCTGTAATTCCAGGATTTGGGAGGCAGAAGCAGGAGGATCACACAGTGTTTTGTTTTTTGTGTAGTTCAGGCTGGCAATGAACTCACCAAGACACAAATTAAAAAAATGAAAGCTGATACCCAAAAAGTGAGCATGCACAGAGATCATTAAAATTTATCACATAAAAAAATTATCAGATAAATCTGAAAAAGAACCAAATGCAACTTTTAGACGTTAATAATGTAAAATTTAAATGGCAGATTAAATATAAAAAATAAACTCTAGTAAAATGGAAGAGGATGTGAAGAAATTGCCAACAATGTTGCCCAGAAAGAGACTAATGGGCAGGCAGGAAGAAACAGCACAAGAGCATGGAGATGGAATGGGAGGCAAAACTGGGAGAGACTGGCTGAGGACTGGATGAGAATGTTCCATGACTGCTGAAAGACATGAATCTGCAGGAACAGGAACCAACCATGCACAGCACAGGGTAATTAAGAACATACATGTGATGGGTGCAGTGGCTCACACTGCAGGGGCTGAGGGAAGAGGACCATAAGTTCAAGGTCAGCCTGGGCAATTTGGCAAGACCCAGACTCAAAAAAGAAAAGGGCTGGGAGCTGTGTTTGACAGCACCAGCCTGTAATGCCAGCACTTTGGGAAGCTGAAGCAGGAGGCCTGACTGTAAGTGTGAACCCAGCCTCGGCAACTTAAGAGACTTATAGAGAACTTGCCCCAAAATAAAATAAATAATAATAATAATAATGATAATAATGGCTAGAGATGGAGCTCAGTGTGAAGGCTCTGGGTTCAATGCCCAGTATGAAAATTAATTAATTAAAAAGCCAGGAAGTAGCTTCGTGGCAGATCCTTGCCTACACACATGAGGCCCTGAGCTCAATTTTCAGGAGCCGGAAAAACATATCCACATGGAGAAATATGCTGGTAACACTGCAAAATGCCAAAGACAGATCTTAAAATTACCCAGAAAAATAGACTGAGCTCTTACTCTAGCGCCAGGACAGCGGGAGCCCAGCCACAATAGCCCTGATCCGGCTTGGGGTTGGGGTTGGCCCCGACCGGGTCACAAGCTCTGGAATGTGATGGCCTTTGCTGACCCGATGTCTCCCAAAAAGGCCTGGCCACCCCGGGAACGGGGGCTGGGGCGGTGACGGGGAGAACGAGGGAGGCGAGAGGGTCGGTCCGAGTCACAGGAGATGGTGCCACCTCGTGGCAGACAGAGGGCACCGAGGCGCCAGGCCTGGGGTGCTTTATGGGATCGTGGGGGAATTCGGGGTTCTCTCGGGGGTCACCCAGGCGCAGAGCTGCTCTTCCCCGTTGGGGCCGGGGAGCCAGGGGGTCCACGCTAGGGGTGACAGCAGTGGCCGCAGGCGCCGTATCAGGCGGTCGCGAGCGGTCGAGGCGAGCACGAGTATAGTGAGCGGGAGGAGCCCTAGCCGGGTCGGTCGGAGGCAGGAGGGGCCCTGGGCGGGGCCAGAGAAGGGCTGTGCCCACGATAGAGGGGAGGGCAGGCGGGGCGGGGCAATGGGCAGGACCCTGAACCGGGCCAGTGGGACGTGAGGATGGAGCCTTAGACCAGGCCAGTAAGAGTCAGGGTCTGCGTCTTGGAGAGGGGGCAGCAGAAAGAGGGGCGGGCTAAAACTGGGGTATGGGAGGAACCTAGACCTGAAGGCGGGAGTCCGGGCGGGGCCAGGAGGATGTAAGGGCGGGCTCTAAACGAGGCCAGTCGAAGGAAGGGTGGGGGCCCTGGGCGGTGCCCTGAGTAAAAGGGGCGGGCATGAGGCAAGGGGTGGGCTGTGGATGGGGCGGGGATGAGGCCCGGGCTAAACGGGCGGGGAGGGAGGCCGGGTCGTAGGGGTCAGGCCAAGCAGAGAATGGTAGACACAGATGGCAAAAGGCCCCCCGTGGAGGCCCATGAGAGGCTTGAAGACTCATGTCCAGCTCTCCCTACTCCCATTTTCCTTCTGCCAATAGCCTTCCATTCTGTGGTCCTTCCCTATTTTGGCGCTGACCTTGAACCCCTGACCTGCTGTCACCGTCTGGCGCCAGCGTCTCTCCAGACCTCGTCCCAAAGTACAGAGAGGGCAGGCAGGGTCCATCCGTGTTTGCCCTCCTGCCCCTGACCAACATAGCCCACTGCCAGTCAGGGAAGCCAGCCAGGCCAGCGGGGTTCTGTGAATGCCGTGGTGTGTGGTAAAGACTGTGGCAACTTGGCAATGATTTCATCTCCTCCTGGAACCCCCTCCCTCTCTCCCATTAGGCTGTCCAGCCCTGGTGGCCCCTGGTACAGAGCTGGGAGGCCTCAGGGAGGGGATAGCACTGCCCCCTGGGTAACAAAAGCCCTTCTTTGGCAGCAGCCAGGGGGGTGCTTGGGAGAAGAAGGGACTCCCAGGGAGGGGCACACGTGTCTCTGGGTACAAGGGCATAACAGTGGAAGGGATCAGATCCTCCTTTAGTCCAGGGGTTCTGGACCTCTTCAGGATCCCCATGCCCCCAGCACCCAGCCCATGGAGGGCTCAGCTCACCCTGGAGTGGCAAAGGAATCCCAGGTAGACCACAACCACTGCAGGCAGCAGCACCAGCAGAAAGACCATTCCAGGAAGCAGCAGGTGGAGCAGGAGCCAGGTCAGGGCCTGGCCCAGCAGCAACAGGGTCCTGAGGCCTTGGGTGGCCAGGCCGGAGGTCTGGTGGTCGGGAGGCCTCCGGGGCAGCATGGGTGCGGTGTCGGAGGTGCTCCCTCCCTCATCCTCTTCTGTCCCCCTTTCCAGCTCACTCATACTATCCTGGCAAGGGTCTGCAGAGCTTTCAGCAGCAGTCAGAAGACAGGACCAGCCCCCCCATGAGACTACAGACCCGTTAATCCTCCCCAGGTTTGTTCCCCATCCACGTCCCAGAGGCAGACAGCAGGTTCTGGCCCAGGTAGGTCCAGCCCTGATGATCACAACCCACCTCAGTTTCTTTGCTGCCAGGCCAAACCTCCCTCTGCTAGGCGACTGCCTCAGCTCTTGTGCACTGGTTAGGCCTTGCACAGATGTCTCCTGGCCTGGTGGACACTGGTGCCCTCCTCCCTCATGGCCTGCCCTCTCCCTTTCCATTCTCCACACAATGACTTCATTTCATAGATCTTGCATCTGACAACTGCCCCATCGCCAACTGCCACCTAGAGGCCAGCCACCCACCTCATGTCCGCCCCCCCAGCCCCTGCTGCCCATCCTTAGCCTCCTCCTTGGTATAATAATGACCCCAGTACCCGCTCCATAGGGCAGTTGAGGGGGAAGAGCTCAGCGTGGACTGGGCACACAGTAGGCACTCAGTAAGCAGCAGCTACAATGACAGACATCCTTTGTGATGAAACCCACTGCAGGCTGTGGCAGTACAAGCCACCGTTGTGAGGAGACAAGAAAACTCCACCCAATCTCACCTAGTATTACTAAAGTCCTGTACACTACCTGTTGCAAGACGCACAGCATTTCAGCTGTTTGAATAACCAACACCTAATAAGTAGGTGTTTGTGAGCTGACCAGCTTCCCTGACATGCCTTCTCCTGCAGCTGATTACATCACTCCTAATTTTTCTCTGAAATTTTCCAGCCCTCTCCAGCTTACTGGCTTCCTTCAGACCCGTTTAAATGGAGGTGATGCCAGTCTGTACCCTAACCCCTCAGGAAAGAGCTAGGTTCCCACCCCAGTACACAGGCAACTTGTTTTTTCTGGCACACACATGTCAAGATGGGACAGTGCTGTTTGTATACTTGGGCAATGAGTCTGGGGCTAAAAAGTTCTGCAAGGCATATCTTTACTAAGCCCATCCTTTCCAGTCCTACCTTCCTTCTTTCCTTCCACATTTATCAGACTGTCATATGTATGTCTCAGGCCATTTTCTATTGCTGTAACTAAATTTCTAAAAAGAAGAAATTTTTCAGGAAAAATGGGCCAGGGATTTAGCTCAGTGGCACTGTGCCTGCCTTGCAAACACAAGGTCTTAAATTTGATCCCCAGTACAAACAAAACACAACAGAAAGGAAGGGAGGAAGGAAGGAAGGAAGGAAGGAAGGAAGGAAGAAAGAAAGAAAGAAAGAAAGAAAGAAAGAAAGAAAGAAAGAAAGAAAGAAAGAAAGAAAGAAAGAAAGAAAGAAAGAAAGAAAGAAAGAAAGAAAGAAAGAAAGAAAGAATAAAAGAAAAGACAAGATATGACATGTTTGGCTCCAGGGCCTAGTGTTAGGGAAGCCCCAGAGCACAGTGCTGGCTGATGGTGAGACCTTCCTGCTGGAGGCCTCTGTGTTTGGATAGCCAGTGTGCTTGCTCTAATGCCCTCCTGTACTGCCCTCAGGACCTCCCCTGACCCTAATTATCTCCCAAGGGCCTCAACCTGCAAAGGCCATCAACATAAAACCTTGGCCAGGCATGGTGGCTCATGCCTGTAACTCCAGCACTCAGGAGGCTGAGACAGGAGGATTGCCATGAGTCTGAGGCCAGCCTGGTCTACATAATGAGTTCAAGGCCAGCCTGAACTACTTAGTGAAACCTTGTTTCTGGGGCTGGGGATTTAGCTCAGTGGTTCTGCCATCTGCCTTGCAAGTGCAAGGTCCTGAGTTCTATCCCTGGTACGTATACACACACACACACACACACACACACACATACATGAAAGAAAAGAAAAAGAAAAAGAAAAAAGATACCTTGTCTCAAAAAACAAAACAACATACAACTTCAGGACTGGGGTTGCAGGGCTTGAACAGCCTTGCTCTAGGAACTAATCTGGGGTCAGTGGCTTCAAATGAAGTACTGGTTACGAATCCCCAGGGAGCTGCCACCCACCTGCCATGGTGGAAACTGGAGAGCTGGCAGGCCTTGAAGAGCCACTGGGCCATGCTGCCTAGCTTCCCACCTCTGCCCACCTGGCCCTGGCACAGCTGCAGCACAGCAGGGAGTAGCTCCTCAGCAATGGGGACCCATCCCCATCCTTCATCTCAGGGCTGCTGTCTGGGACAAAGGCTACAGTGCACTGAGGTCACTGCTCCTCTCGCTTTTGGCATTTGGGTAAGTCCAGAGCCTGGTGCTTCAGAGATGGCTGTTGTGAACTGGGCCCTTGGGGAGTATCCACTGTAGGGGAGAAGGCAGATATTTAAAATGAAGTAGACTTTTGTGCCATAGTGAGTGCTAGGAAGGGAACAGAACAGGATTGAAGGCACGCCTGTAGTCTCAACACTTGGGAGGCTGAGGCAGAAGGGTTGCCTCAAGTTTGAGGCCAGCCTGGGCTACATAGTGAGTTTAAGGCCAGCCTAAACTACATAGTGAGATCCTGTCTCAAAGCAAACAAACGCATGCGCGCGCACACACACACACACACACACACACACACACCCACACACCCCAACACACCAACAAACCAATGCACACACACACACACACACACACACACACACACACACACCAACTAACCAACCAACCAACCAAAATAACAGGTCCCAGAGACTGTTTCAGCTCAGTGACTGGGCTCCAGGTCTCTTGGGGGTGATGTCTGTCTTCGCAGTTCAGGGGGCAAGCCGGGGCGGGCTGGAGATGGGGAGGGGCCCCTTGCCTCCCTCAGGTGCTCCAAGGGATGAGAGTCCAAGGAGACAGTGTCCCAGAGACTGGAGTCCGCGGGGGTGGGGTAGGGTGGTGGTGGTCTGGGGTTGCCCCTGGTGGCCAGTCCGGGTCACTGCAGAGGAGAGCCCACTGCTGGAGACTGTCCTGGTCTAGGCTCGGAATTGGTGGCCCACCGGCCCCTCTCTGCTCCAAGCACCAGAATGCCTCCCACAGGGCCACTTCCCACCTCCACACACAGGTGCTTTAGCAGCTCTGGCCCCAGAAAGACCCACTGTCTTCCTTGGCCTGGCGCACGCTCTGCCTGGCGCACTACCCAGACCAGCTTGCCAGGGCTAGCCAGGCCACCTCTCGCTCCGCCCTCTGTCCAGGTGGTCCTGGGCAGCATCTGCATGGGGGAGAGCGGAACCCACCCTGTGCCCTCCACACCCTCGGGAGCAAGAGGAGAGGGGGTTCCAGCCCCAGCTAGTTTTAGCGGGGGTGGGGGTGGGGAAGTCGGGCACAGAGAAGGCTGAGAGGCAGACCGCAGGCATGTTCCAGCCTGCCCTTCCCAGCCCACTTGCCGAGCTGGCAGTCAGCAAGGAAGGAGGGCCTCTGGTTAAACCGCTCAGTACACAGTGTCAAGTGGCTCGGCTTGGTGGGAGGGAGCAGCAGCCTGCTCTACCCGTCCCCTTAGCAGCTTCAGCTTCGAGAAGCAGCACTCCCAGGAGGGTCATCGGGCAGAGGCTGGGGCAGGAGCAGCACAGAGAGGACAGAGCTACTGGGGCAGATCCCTCCGTGGATAACTGGAAGCCAAGCCCAGCAAACCTAAGTGGTGGCGGGGTCCCCTGGTGGGGTGGGGCCTCCAAGCCAGCGGGGAACCACTGGATTGGGCAGGGCAGCAGCGTCTAGGGGGCTGCAGGCACCTGCAATTTCCGGATGGATCCTGGCAGGCAAGAGCCCAGTGCGCAAGACCTGGCCCAGGCTCAGCAGGAGCTGCGGTGGGTAGAGCTGGGCTCAGAGGCCCCTGGACCCAGGAGAGAGAGGCCCAGTACTCCCCAGAGCTGGGGCCGCCTGCTCCAGGCGGTGTGGTGCGGTTCCCCGGGCCTGGTGATGCAACTGCTGCGACAAGGGGCCAGCGTGGAGGAGAGGTGAGACGAGTCCCCACTTCTGGGTTGCTGGGATCCCCGCTCTGGGCTGACAGGATCCGGTCTGGGTCCCAGGACCGTCCACACCCGCGCCCGACGCCGCGCTCCCCCACA